AGCTACACGTTTTCTGTCGATAGAACACATTGAGAGGTCAAAATATAGTTTCTATTGTCTTTCCTGCTGCTTTTTCATTAATTTACAGGAGGTGGACATAGCTGGCAAAGCTAGCATTATATTGCCCATCCCAAAAGGCAGCAGGTGCCACATACATTGCTCAGGGTCATGAATCGCATACAGGCCCAACTTGGTAATGATAGCTGATTTCCTTCCTTAAAGAACATTAAGGAACCAGATGGGATTTCAATGACCACCACCAAGAGTGGCTGGGCAGCAGTACTACTGATCGAACTGGTAGGTCCTAATGTACACAGCTGCTAGACTGGGTCTGCAGCAGGTGGTGAGGGAGCAACAAGAGGGAATAACACACTTGACCTCATCCTTACCAATCAGCCAGCTGCAGATGCATCTGTCCATGATAGTATCAGCAAGACTTCATTGACAGACATCTTTGTATCCTCTTTGGCCGCAGGTGAGGTCCCAGAGGACTGGAGAATAGCTAATGTTGTCCCATTGTTTAAGAAGGGTAACACGGGATCATCCAGGAAATTACAGGCCTGTGAGTCTCTTGTTGGTGGTAGGAAATTATTGGAAAAGATTATGGGGGAGAAGGTCTATATGCATTTAGAAGCAAATGGACTTATTAGTGATAGACCACATAGTTTTATGTGGGAGAGGTTGTCCCACACTAACTTGATTGAGTTTTTTGAGGAGATGACGAAGAAGATTGATGAGGTAAAAGCTGCTAATGTTCTCTATATGGACTTCAGTAAAACCTGGGACAAGATCCCTCATGGCGGACTGGTACAAAAGTTAAAGTCACATGCTGTCAGGGGTGAGCTGGCAAGACAGATGCAGAACTAGCTTAGTCATAGGAGACAGAGGGCAGCAGTTATCCCTGTGGAACACCACTAGTCACAACCTCCATTCTGAAAGCATTCAGAATGGAGGTTGTGACTAGTGGTGTTCCACAGAGATAAGTGCTGGGACCTCTGCTCTTTTTGTCTACATAAAATGGTTTGGAGGAGAATGTAGCTGGTCTAATTAGTAAGCATGCGGATATTACAAAGATTGGAGTTGCGGATAGTGAGGAGGATTGTCAGAGGATACAGCAGCATATACGTCAGTTAGAGGCATGGTCAAAGAAATGGCAGGTGGATATTAAACCGGACAAATGTGAGGTGGTGCATTTTGGAAGATGAAGGACAGGTAGAAATTATACAGTGAATGACAGAATCCTTAGGAGTATTGATATGCAGAGGGATCTGGGTGTGCAGGTCCATAGATCACTGAAAGTGGCAGCGCAGGTACAGTAGTAAAAAAGGCCTATGGCATGCTTACCTTCATTGGAAGGGGCATTGAGTACAAGGTTAGACAAGTTGTGCAGCAGCTTTATAGAACTTTAGTTAGGCCACACTTGGAGTATTGCGTACAGTTCTAGTCACCACACTAGCAGAAGGAAGTGGATGCTTTGGAGAGGGTACAGAAAAGGTTTACCAGGATGTTGCCTGGTATGGGGGATTTTAGCTATGAAGTAAGGTTGGATAGACTGATTTTGTTTTCACTGGAATGCAGGAGGTTGAGGGGTGACCGCATAGATGTTTATAAGATTGTGAATGGTATGGACAGAGTGGAAAGTATGAGGCAGGGTGGAGGGGTCAATTACTAGGGGACACAGGTTCAAGATGCAAGTGGGGAAGTTTAAAAGAGATGTGCAAGCCAAGTTTTTCCACAAAAGGTGGGGAGTGCCTGGTATGCGTTGCCAGAGGAGGTGGTGGAAGCAGACACAGTAGCAACATTCTACAAGCAGCTGAACAAATACACAAATAGGAAGGGAATAGAAGGTTATGGATCCTGTAAGTGAAGACAGTTTTTTAGTTTTAGTATGGAAGGGCAAAATGTGTCGGCGCAGGCTTAGAGGGTCGAAGGGCCTGTTCCTGTGCTGTGTTCGTTCTTCCTTCTGTGTTCGTTCTTCCTTCTGTGTTCGTT